ATTTTGTTGCTGTTACAAAGTGATTTTTGTGGCAATAACAAAACTAATTTGTTGCCAAAATATTCTCCAAATCAGCTATATAGCTGATTATAGCGTATTTTTAAATGTATTCTTATAAAATTTACTGTAACAAATTTATTTGTTATTGCAACAAATTGTCATTGTTATTATTACAAATTCTCTCTATTACTTCAACAAATTGTCTTTGTTACTCCAACAAATCCTCTTTGTTATTTTAATAGAATAATTTTGATATTTCAACAAAAAATCACAAAAAGTGTAAAATGATGTTTATAATTACGTTTACATAATTCTGAAATACAAAATTTGTCACATTTTCTATGAGATGTTTTGTCTGCTCTGCTACTACGTAGTAGTAAAATCATTATTTATTTTATTATTCAAATAAGTGTTATATTATAATTAAATTCGGTAAGATAAATAAATTATGAATTATGACTATTCAAATATATTATAAAATCAATTTTTTTATTATATTTATGATAAACTCATATGATACATTAAGTAGATTATAGAATCATTATTTTCTAAGATAGCAGCACAACAGACAGAAACTTCAAGACGCACGGAGATCACCAAAGTTAAGCAGCATTGAGCAGGGTTAATAGTTGGATGGGTGACCACTGGTGTTATAGCCATAAAATTAGATCTAGATATTTTTTTTGCATTTTGATCGGTTACACAGAATTGCGTAGGACCATATTAAATACTCTATCCATAAAATTAACCCAATAATTAATTAGATGTAATAAATCTATAATTAAATATTGTTATATATAATTATATATAGTTATATATAATTATACATAATTAGATATGATTATATTTGGCCATTTTTCATATATAATCATATATAACCAATTTATATATAAATATATATAAATATTTTTTCTCGGGTTTGTTATTAACTATTCCATATTCGTTAAATAAATCTACCTATCCATGTCGGGATGGGCTGAATGGCACTTTTTATTTTAAATTACCTGGGGGACAATCATCATTGCAATTGCAGTGCCAGCTGATGAGTAACTGACAGCCTGGCCGCGTTTTTTGTCAAAGTACGTGTTTAATGCTATGAAAGCTGAAGCTAGTGCTAAACCATTACCGATACCTGAAATTAATGGTAATTATAATTGTAAGTAATCGGTAGTAATTACTTTTTTTAATTTGTAATATTTACCGTTTAAAATACTGTAGGTTAAAATAATATGCGTGGCGCTTTTTGCAAACGCTGTGAGTGTCAGTCCAGTGCAACATAGCAAGGATCCAAAAACTGCGACTTTTCTGTAGGAAAATTTATTCAACAGCGGTCCTACGAAAATTCCTGAAAAAATCAAAAATTATTTTTTAGTATTTCTAATTGTAAAAAAAATTTTAATTTTTTTTTTAATAATTTTGAGTACCTGAGAAATTCGAACATGCATCGAAAACACTCGGGAATGTCGACATCCTTGTTGAGTCGATTTTTAATTCTGTCAGCAGATCATGGAAGATCAAGCCAAAGGATGGCTCCAGCGATCTTAGTGACAACTAAAATTCAGATTAATGATTTAATTATTTATAAAATAAAATTAGTAATAATCATTTTTTTGTTATTTAGAATTTTTTTTTGACAATCATATTTTTTTTTAAAGTTCATTAAAAATAGAATAATTTTTTTAAAATGTCAATTTTTCTTTTAAAAAAATTTTTGCAACAAAAAAATTGACATTAAAAGCTTCAGAAGTCATTGAAATTTTTTTTTTACAAATTTTTATGATAAATTATTAAATGAAATTGAAAAAAAAAATTTTTGAGAAAAAAAAGCAAAATTGATGACCGTAAATATAAACTAGAAATTAAAATTAAAAAATTTACAAAGTTATGTAAGTTTAAACTTGTTCATGAAATTTTTGAGATTAATTTTTTCAGACAATATAAAGCCGATAAAACTTTGTTAAATATAATGTAATATATTATAATTTCATAATAAATAAATTAAAGTAAATATTAAATGCGATCTTAACACAAATTTTTTAAACTCTAAATAAACAATTAAGTAACAATCAACGAAGTACATATGTCAATACAACGACATAACCAAGTCACAAAATATTCAAAATATTTTGTGAAAGAAAATTAATGATGATCCTAAAATCGATACAAATCTCTCAATTTTTTTACTGTGTAAAAATTTTGATGAAAAAATTTCATATCTAGATATTAAAAAAAAATAACTTATTTTAAAAAAAAAATTTTTTAAGTTTGTGAGTAAAGTTATAAAATTAATTTGCAAATTTGCATAAAAATAAAAAATTTTAATTTTATATTACTTAAATAAAAAAAAAAAAACAAAATTACTAATTTTTTATGATTGTTTTTTAAATAATAATAAAAAAAATTTCTACGTCTTCTGATTTAATTTTCATAATTAATTGTCAGCATTCAAAATTTCTAAATGAATTTAAAATATAATTTTTTAAGGTTAAAAATAAAATTATAAAATTTGCATAAAAATAAAAAATTTTAATTTTATATTATATAGATAATAAAACAAAATTACTAATTTTTTGTGATTGATTTTTAATAAAAATGAAAAAAAAAATTGTTACATGTCTTCTGATTTCCGTTTCATAATTAATTGTTAGTACTCAAAATTTTTTAAATAAATTTAAAAAATATTTTTTTTAAGGTTAAAAATAAAATTATAAAATTTGCATAAAAATAAAAAATTTTAATTGGGTATTATTTAAATAATAATTCAATAAAAATAAAAAAAATTGTCACATGTCTGCTGATTTCAGTTTCTTAATTAATTAATTGTCAGTGCTAAAAATTTTCTGAATGAATAAAAAAAAGTTATATAATGTGTGCAAAAATAAAAATAAATTTTATTTTATATTACTCAAGTAATAAAAAAAAATTACCGTTATAAAACTGCTGCCAAGGCAAGCAAACCATCCCCAGCCACCATCAGGCGCTTTGGGCCGATCATCATCTTCCTGACTCTTCTTCGACATTTTAAATTTCCCTTTCTAATTTTTCCTTTCTATTACTATCTTTACAACAATAATTTTTATTATTATTAATATAATAATGATTAAGATAACTATAAATAAAAAAATTCTACCTTCAAACTCACGCCTAAACCCAACACTGAAAACGTCGAACACTAACAGTCTTTCGACACTTATCTTTTTATTTTTCTCAAATAGTTACCAGATAACATATCTCATTATCTTCTTTAAATCAATAACTTAATTAACATACACAACCTTCGTTTTTAATATATTAAATCGAAAAACAAAAACAGGTACGCCTCGAAAAAAACTCAACCTCAGTCTCAATTTGTTTCTTCAGTAATTAACAATAATGTAACACAGGTATACTTGTTAAAAATACAATAAATACAAAATCAAATCTTCGAGTCAACAACTTGAGACCAACCGCGGTTATTTTCCACGGCTATAAATTATGCTACATTAAAAAATAATTCTTTGATTGTTTTATTTATGTTATTATTACCATTATCTTCGTAAGTAATTAATTCGAAGTGAAGATAAAATATGTCTGTTACGAAATAATATTTCGGCTGAAAATAGTCTGGGCCCAATCTGGTCATAAGTCTATTTCTGTCTAATGGAATAAAAAGATAAGAAGAATAAATAATAATTAATCAACAATAATAACAAAAGGCGCGCAGTAGCCTATCGGATCCGGCCCTTGCTTACCAAAGCATTGGACCGGGTTCGAGTCCGGCGTACACTAATGAATATTTTCAATATTTAAGTGTATTATACTGCTCAGCCCAAGAAATAAAACGAGTTCCAATCTCAAAAGTTTACCCCCTACCGTAGTAGCTCATGACCTTAGTAGTTTATGCGACTTTAAACAAATTAAGAAAAAAAAAAAATAATAACAAAAGAAAAAAAAACTACTAAAGACTAAAACTTAAAAGATCAAGAGTTTTAATTAAAATGTTCCAAGTCATGCTTAGTTAAAATTACAGTTGCATTGAATAAATAAATATTTATAGAGCTTAAATATTAATTTTCCGTATTTGAAGTGTAATATAATAATAAAATATAATTTACAACAATAATTAGAATGACAAGGCGACACGTGTGATATGACATCCAAAATAATATCGTAAGATAAGCGCGTTCTTTATTTATATTTATAAAATCTAGTGTTAGGTGCTGTTACAATGTCGCATTATTTTCAGAGATAGAATCAATCTCTCAGTCGGTGTCGATCTCTACATCCGAGTAGCGGCTGAATTTATCTTCTTATCACGATTGTTGTCTTCAAATTTCCACGAGCATTTAATTATCTCCAAGCCGGCATTAAATCACTGCTAAAAGTGTCAGTTTGTTGTTAACAATGAGTGACTGTGATAAACCGAGTGCCGAGGACCGCAAAAACTCAAAGATTACTTCCAAAGAAGTAACTAATTATTTTAGTGACCAAAATGAAGAACTTACGCTGGAAGATTTGGCGCCGGATGGCGGATGGGGGTGGATGATTGCCCTCGCTATGATTATTGTTTTCGTAAGTACGCATCAACTATTTATTGTTGACTTTTAAAATTCACCGGTTCGTCGGCTGTCGAAGGCGATCCGTCGATATTTAATGCAAACAGAGATAATTTAAGATAATTATCTAGACCGGTTGATAAATTGATAAGGATTTTATGCAGGAATGGATTGCTACCAGTTATTATAATTATGTTAAATGTTAAACAGCTGGGTGTGTCATTAAATAATTAATTACAGGTGACGACATTCTGCGCGGGAGCTTCCTTCGCGATAGTCTTCGGGGCCTTCTTCGAGGAGAAAGGCCAATCAGGATCCGCTATGACGCTCCTCAATTCCGTTTTTATGATAAGTTTTTCGATATCAGGTAAACATTTTTTTGTCGCCGAGTTATTTAAGTCTTATCTTTAAATTTACTTATTGGTTGTTTGTTTTCAGGTGTTGTGACAAATGCACTCTTGAAGAAATACTCCTTGAGATTGGTCAGCGTCACCGCGGCGCTGCTCTTTGCGATACCTAACATTTGGTCCGCGTTTGTTACGCATGTTTATGAACTCGCGGTTATTTTCTTCATTCAAGGAATCGGCGCCGGGCTGATGAATACCATCAGCAGCGCCAGTTTCAACGCGTTTTTCGTTAAGAAACGGGCCAAGGTACTTTGGGGAGTCTATTGAACCTCTAACGCACTATTGATACGGAAAATTTTCCTTTGTTTTTCTATGGAAGATTTTTAATCTTTATTGGTGATCCGTTTACAAAGATTAACACTTTTTAAAATAATCGGATACTATAACGTATAAATTAATTAATTAAGGAAGAAATTTATAAATTTGATTTATAACTTTATTGTTTAGAATTTTTTTTTTTTCAATTTATAATTTTTTTTTGTATGATTTATCATAATTTTTTATGGAAGTTTAACTAAAAATAATTTATTGAAATCAAAGCTAATTTTTAAAGGATTATTTTATTATAGCTTCAGAATAATTTCACTTTTTTGAGTTTAATTCGAACAAATTTTGAATGAAAAAATTAATACTTAAAAATCTTAAGATCTTACTAAAGATATTATTAATACAGTGGACTCTCGATAACTCGAACTTAAAGGGAAGTGATAAGAACTTCGAGTTACCCAGTTTTCGACTTAACAAGACGTTCGAAATTTGCAAGTAGACCAAAAATTAAGAAAACACTTGATTTCTGTTATATGAAGCATATTTATTTAAAAAAATTATGAATTATTAAGTTAAAAAATATTACATAGTCTGTTACTTTTTTCTAAAATAAAGAATTATCAGATTTGTTATCAATTAATTTCTCGAACTTAATACAAAACATATAGCAATATAAAAATAAAAGTTTGAGAGAGTTTCGGATCATTAAAAAAAAAAAAACTTTTGTTGAGTTTTGAATTTTAAATTCGAAAAGTGCAATTTTTTTTAAAAAAGTTATCCGGAAACTTTTACAGAATAATAATTGTTATTCAAATTTTCACAATTTTATAAAATTTTTTTTAAAATTTAATTGTAATTTAATGTGGCTAGATTCTTCTTAAAAAAAAAAAAAATTAAGTTATTTTTAACTAAAGAGAACTTTTAATTGAAGAATTTAATTAGTTTCATTTAAAGTGACGTAGTTTTCAATAAAATCTTTGTTACCGATGAGATATTCAAAGTTTTTAATCAAGATTTGCCAAGCCAAAAAATTCTTAAAATCAAGTCTAGTCTTCTACAAAATAATTTTCTTTTTAATAAAATTATTATTTTTTTTTTTAATCAGTAGATGATTTTTAAGGGTGTATTCTGATCTATAAGCTTGAATTTAAGGTAATTTTTGTGTCGTAAAAAAAAGGCAATCAATATTTTTACAATTCATTTTTCTATACGATACTTATTAATATTTCAAGAGTACAGAAAAAAAAGTGAAAAAATTCAAAATTCAAAAAATTAGTAGCTAATGAAGTGGGAGAGGTTTCAAAAAATTGGCACGCGACCATACCCACGATTCCAACCCTCCAAGCAACCTGGGAAAAAGATGATTAATTTAGAGTAATGCCACTACCGTTGTAACTAAAAAAAAGTTGAAAAAGAATTTTTGTAGAAAATAGCAACTGCCTGAAAAAAAAATCTGGAAATCGGTTGACCGCGCAGGCCAACCCTAGAATTTCCCACTAAGTTTGAATTTGAAGCGCCTTAAAATTTGTTTTTTGGTTAATCTTTGAGCTTTTCAAGCTCTTCGAGGTTTATATTGATTGGTTGAGAAATCTGGAAGATATCTTAAAAAAATGCGGAAAAACGAAATTTTTTGAATTTTTTAATAACTATAACTTTTGAATGCGTCGTTTGATTTTTATTTTTAAAAAGCATTCGACGCAGTTTTTTAAACACACTAAATGTATACGTGGTTTTCTTATGATTTTTTCGCACGCTTTAAAGTTATTTTTAAAAAACATAACAATTCAAATTTTTTTTTTAATTTCTTCGGAATGGCTCGATGGATTAACTCTTAAATCTAATCAGATCTAATTTTTGACAAACCCTTTCGAATGACGAGTCGTAGAGTTCTATCGGTTAATTCGTTTTTGAGAAACCATACGACAAAAATTTATTTACACACATACACACACACACACACACGGCCAGACATCTCGGCGGGAATAGTCAGAATGGCTTCCTAGGAACTCAAAACGTGTAGTGGAGATCCGATGAAAACTCGGCTTCCGAAAATCGGACCGAAATCAATAACTTCCTTTTATTGGAAAATTTTCCAGTATCTTAGTGGGAAGTTAAAAATTAATTTTTGCACCACTTTTTTTGAGTTTTCCGAATTTTTTAAAAATAGTAAACATTGAAATTTGGGAATGAGGATAGTTTATGTGATAGAGAAGTCTATAAAGAATACTTACATCAAACTTCAAGTAATTCGGTTCAGTAAAATTTGAGAAATCGCGGGTATTGTTTTAAAAAAGACAATTTCAATAAAAACACGATTACAGTTTCGCGTAAAGTTTCCCGCAGTCTATAGTTCCGGCCGAGCCGGTTTGGATTCTGCGTCAGCAATCAGCCATACTTCCAAAAATGTTTCGAATTTTCTAAAGTCCTTCTAAGGACATATTCTTGAAGGGTTAAGCTTTGAAAAATATAAAAAAAAAATTAGGAATACGGTTGACCCTGAAGGCCATCCCTGCAACTTCCCGACAATTCTATACCTAAACGCTTGAAATTGCACTTATGACGTTTTAGAGCTCTTCGAAATACAATTTGTGTATTATTTTGAGCTCTCCGAGCTCAAAAGTTTGATGAAACACTATTTTTTTTATTTTCAAATCGCAATAACTTTTGAATGAATGAACCGATTTTCACGCGGTTGGCGGCATTCTACGCAGTTTTATCATCCTCATAAGTTATTTTCAGGTTTTAATTGATCGAATCGAAAATTTCGGAGTAATCCCGAAAAAACACTTTTTTCGGTTTTTTTTCGTTCACGATATCTCTTGAACGAATCAATCGATTTTAACCGGATTGGCGGCAATCGACGTGGTTTTTTAAGGTTTAGAGCTGATTAGTTTTTGAAATCGATCGGTAGAGCCGTTTAAAAGTTATTCCAAAAAAACCACTTCTGAAAAAAATTTTTTTTCCTATTTTTTTTGGAGATTTCTTCAAATTTCTCAAAATCTATCGGTCCGAATCGGTCCAAATTTTCAGGAAATCTAAGTTTAGTGAAGCCCTTTCGAATGGCACCAACCGCGATCAAATCGGTTCAACCGTTCAAAAGTTATAAGAGGTTTACATACTTGCACACACACACGCACACACACACACACACACACACACACACATACATACATACAGACATAGTGACACCCTCGCGGGAATAGTCAGGGAAGCTTCCTAGGACCTCAAAACGTCGAGATCTGATGAAAACTCGATTTTCGAAAAACGGGGTAAAACCAATAACTTCCCGATTTTTGAAAATTTTCAATTTTCTTAGCGGGAAGTTAAAAATCAATTTTTTCAAATTTCTAAACCAGAATACCCTCTTAAAATTAAAAGAGGTCATAAATTAAAAACCGAGTTCTTCGTCAAATCTTGAAAAAATTTATCCTATAATTTGAGATGTAAATAAAAAAAAAGGATTTAAAATTATATAATAAATTTTATTGAAGGTAATGAGTGCAGCGCAAGTGATAATTGGATTGGGAGGAATAGTATACCCCATGATAATTGAAAAAATGATGGACATATACGGATTTCGAGGTGAGTATCTTCTAAAAGTAAATTGCTAAATTTTAATAATTTCTAACAGAAAAAAAAAATTAATGGTTAAAATATTTTTTGAAAAAAAGGAACGGCAGCAATAATTGGCGCACTGAGTCTGAACGCGATAGCAGGAATGATGATGATGCACCCGGTAGAATGGCATCTGAGAGACCCAAATGAGGTGCTGGAAGAAAGAAGACAACTAAAGGGCCCGCAGCCCCAATCCGAACACAACCACTCTGCTCTCAACAAAGTCAAAATACTTGGTTCGAGTGACCGCCGGTCGACGATCCATTGCACCCAAGATTTTATGGAGCCTGCTAGGTGGAGTAGTTTGTGTAACATTAAGGACAATCCTGGATGTCAGGAACCTCTTCTTTTCATCAACTCCAAAGTAAGTCTTCGTTGATAAACAAAAAATAAACTTAATTCAAAAGAAAATTTTTTAAAGCAAGAAGATCATTTTTAAATAGATAATTTATTTATGTCAAGGCCAATTGGCCAAATCGCAAATTATACATATATTATATAATATATAATAATTATAAAGGTAAAGTAATTTAAAAATATTTTGACAGTGATATAACTGTACAAAAATTTTTAAGACACTTATAAGTAACTCCGTTTAGACAAAATAATTTTAAATCATATTTCTTATGCGCGTATAACATGTGAAATTATTTTTAATCATTTTGTTTAATAGCTTAATTGCACGCCTCATAAGCGAAGCGTTGAGGTAGTGCTCTACTCTTGATATGTCAAAAAACGCAGTTTTCTCGAAACTGAAATTGATTTTTTTTTACTTATATCGCACTTACAGATCAAGTTAAATAATCTGTCAGACGCATAAAATATATTTCAATAACAATTACTTTGTTTAACATAGTAAATAATAACATTAAAAATAATCTTTCCTGGGCGTTCGTGTGTCTGTGATTATAGATTCGTGTATGTGGCAGGGAAATTGCTCGAAAAAATTCAAAAAATTATCGTACCGGAATAATTTTTAACTTCCCGCTAAAAATCTCAGATTTTCAAAAATCGGGAAGTTATTGTTTTCACCCCGTTTTACAAAAATCGAGTTTTCATCAGATCTCGACGTTTGAAGGTCACAGGAAGCTTCCCTGACTATTTTTACGATGATGTCCGTACGTCTGTATGTGTGTGTGTGTGTGTAAACCTCTCGTAACTTTTGAATGACTTGACCGATTTCATCGCGGTTGTTGTCAC